CTACCCTTCCCAGCACCTTAAGGTCCCTTCCCCCAGCAATTCCGCTAATCTTGAAAACAAAGGAGGCATCAGTCCAACATACCAGTGATCAACCGTGACCTTTACGCTCAGTCTCAGATGTGGGGGGCACATAGAGGGGCTCTGTCTTTGTTAGGCTTGCCCTCTCTGGGGAAAGCCTGGCCCTCAGTCAGACTGGGAGAAGCCCTTGGAGAGGCAGAGAAAAGAATTTAGCCTAAGTGTGGTGTCTCTAAAGAGGGGAGCTCTGCTGGTGTTGGGGTGCAGCAGCAGCGGGCTGTGGGCATTGTACATCCCTTTGAGGAAGACCAAAGCTGGACTACTCAGAAAATGCCACCCAAAAAGTACAAAGTGATCCTAGAACTTGGAAGGCAAGACGATGGGAAGTTTAAAGCCAACTTGGGCCACTTAGTGAGGCTGAGGTTAGGCTGGACTACAGAAAGACACCCTGTCTCAAAAAAAGGGGAGTGGTGACGGTAGAGTGTCATACGGCATGGTTTGGCACAACACTGGTCTAGCATTTGCAAAGCCCTTTATTGAATACCCAGCACCAAAATAAACCTTAGTAGTAATTAGCATACTGTCCCCAGATTTCAGAAGCGAGGCAAGGATTGTGAGCTCGAGGTCAGTCTAGCTTATATCTGATATCTCAAACATCTGAAACAGAGCTGGGCATGGTGGTGCACGCCTTTAATGCCGGTATTGGGGAAGCAGAGGCAGGTGGATCCCTGTGAGTTTGAGGCCAGTCTGGGTCCAGACCTGCCAGGGCTATATGATGAAACCCTGTCTTGTCTTTTAAAAAGAAAAATAATTAAAAGTAGAATGGGAGCCGGGCATTGGTGGCGCACGCCTTTAATCCCAGCACTCGGGAGGCAGAGGCAGGCAGATCTCTGTGAGGTCGAGGCCAGCATGGTCTCCAGAGCGAGTGCCAGGATAGGCTCCAAAGCTACACAGAGAAACCCTGTCTCGAAAAAAAAACAACAAAAAAAAGTAGACTGGGATGATGGGAATGCGGCTCAGTCTACACACAGGGCCCTGGACTCAACCCAATAGGTAAACAAACAGACAACAGAATTAATTCCAAAGAAAACAAGTCACAGTTGTGTACATAAGCTAGAGACAGGGCAAGCTGTCGTTGAACTCACTCCTAAAACCCATAATGTAGTCAGCTGTGTCTGCTCCCTCTCTGTCAAGACTCTATTTGTGAATGAGTGTGTGATGTATGTGTGTGTGTGTGTGTGTGTGTGTGTATGTGTGTATGGTATGTGTGTATGGTATGTGTATATGTGTGTGGTATGTATGTGTGTGGTATGAATGTGTGTGGTATGTGTGTGTGTACAATGTCAAGTCTTATTTTTTAAATTGCATTAATTTATTCATGGGTTATGTGAGGTGGGCGTGGGTGTACATTTGCTTGGTCAGCCATGTGGAGGTCAGAAGACAGCCTGTGGGTGTCCATTCTCTCCTTCCACCTTGTGGGTCTCAGAAATCTGTAGCCCTCCTAGTAGCCGCTGCCATGAGGGTGTGGTCAGGGGAGGTCAAAGATGATGCAGGAACAATTCTTTTTTTTTTTTTAAAGATTTTATTTATTTATTATGTATACAACATTCTGCTTCCATGTATATCTGCACTCTAGAAGACGGCACCAGATCTCATAACAGATGGCTGTGAGCCACCATGTGGTTGCTGGGAATTGAACTCAGTACCTCTGGAAGAGCAGTCAGTGCTCTTAACCTCTGAGCCATCTCTCCAGCCCCCAGGGACAATTCTTAAGGGACCTGGCACACGTGGAAAGTGCCTTCTCTCTGGCCACGCTAGCTTGCGGCCTCTGGGCAAGCTCTGGCTTGTGTTTGGGCTGGTGTTTATGTGAATAAAGTAATCTTAGCCTTACGGACTACGGATCATCTCGTAATAGAAGTCTACCTGGTTGTCAAGCTTTGCAAAAAGTACTTTAGCCATTGAGCCATCTCACCAGCCTTGGGACTCCTTCTTAACCTCTGGGATAGGAGTGAGGGTTAGGAAGCTCCTTCTCTGCAGAAACAGCCATCTAGACTGACCTCTGGCACTTTCTGAGAGTCAGCCCCATGGAGCCATAGGCACGGCTCTCTACCTCACTGCCTGCAGCCATTGTCGCCCATTTGCCTCCTTGCTGGAGAAAAGTTGTCTTTGCAAAGTGTGTTTGGTGCAAGGCAGTGGTGGCACACGCCCTTCATCCCAGCACTTGGGAGGCAGAGGCAGGCGGATCCCTGTGAGTTTGAGACCAGCCTGGTCTCCAGAGTGAGTTCCAGGGCAGCCAGGGCTACAAAGAGAAACCATGTATCAGAAAAACAAAGAAAACCCCTCAGGTTTGACCACCTGAGACTCAGAAGACTGAGGAAGCTGTCCAGCACCCCCAGAGCCAGGAAATTTCAGTGTCTATTGTCAGCCTGCTTGGTTTACCCTTCAGCGGCTGGGTTGAGAGCTCCATGGGTCAGTACAGTATCCTAATTGGAGAGACTGGTTTGAAGCAAATTATTATGAATAGTTTTGTGGTGGCATTTTGAAGAAAAGAAAGAAAGCCAATACTATAATGCTGGGGTTGGGAAACTGTGAAATGTCCAAGATGTCAAGGGTGAGAAGGAGACTGAAGATCTCGGGTGTTGGCCTTCCAGGCAGAGGGAGCGGCGCTTGCAAAGGCCCTGAGGTTGGGGTACACTGTCGAGGCACAGAAGCAAGGGGAATTCTGGGTATGTTTGAATAAAATCCGGATCTCTTTCATGATTGTAAGTTTGAAGAAGCTGCCAGGGCCCGCGAA